TTGTACACGTGTGCTTCCACTTGTGTGTCTTTCTTTTCAAGCCGGAGCTTGTTCTAATCCCCGCTAATGACAGTATGCACACGTGTGTGTCAGTTGCTCCATCTCATTAGCGTGAGATGGCAATCAGATTTCATGTCCTACCGTCCCGAACTCGTACACTTTCTAGACTTGTTGCAGTCTACATAACATTCATGTGTGCAGAGAGCATACAGCAGCGTTGTCCAGACGTCTTGCCGCTTCTCACACTCGCTCGCATCCAGCAATCAACACAATTTCCCCTGAAACTCATATTATTGCCATATTCTCCGAAATCCGACAACAACCCACAGGCAGCACAGCGTGACGGGCGAGTGGGCCTACGTCTACGGTGGCGGCCTCAGCGCCCCTCCCGTTGTGGCGGTCAGTCCTACATCCATGGTCTATCCCCACGGCGTGGTCTTCACGCCTCCGCCTGTCTACGCCGCCGCCCCCAACCCGCCCCTCCCCGCCAAGAAGAAGGACACCGCTGGCGGACAGAAGGATGGCGACGAAAAGGACGAGAAGAAGGAGAAGGGCAAGGGATGGTGGGAGGTGATGTACGACGAGGACGGGGACCGGTACTGGGAGCACACGGTGACAAAGAAGACCACCTACAAGGACCCCTACTTTTGAAACAACTGGAGCTGAATTGATTCGAAGGAGTAGAAAGCCGTAGTACAGGACTTGTAGTAGTAGTATTGGTACAGAAGAAGTGGTATACTTCTGGCATAATGTAGTTTTGACAAAATGCCGATCAATCAATGTGGAGTTATGGTAGGCTAGACACCTGTTGGTTAGCAGTTTTTCTGATTGTTGGTATACGGCAGCCGTGGCGGCATTCAATCAGCCCTGCTGCAATCGGTTATCTGTGATTTTTGTTTGTGTGTGCATGTAAGTGTCGTGTCTCCCGTCATGACCGTTCAGCTGCGTTTGGGATTGAGACGGGAGCAGGTCATTGGGTTTCCTGTCATGCACAAGCAAGCACGATGTCATAGTTTGGTGTGAGGTTTGTCGCTTTCGTTGAGAGTACAGAAACGTTGCTTGAGTGCGAGCTTGTCACACATGGACTAAATCTCCTCATGTATGTGTATTTCCCTTCATGTTTTCTTCTCTTCAGAAAGTGGTGATAGTGGTGTATGCGATATCTATCTGTGGAGGGGCGGTGTCGCCGAATATTTGCAACGGTCATGTGCATGTGACAGGGGCTACAATTGTTGTTTATCATGTAGTAACTGCCTTACCTTGCCGCGATGCACGTTGCAGCACTGGTTGGAGGGGAGGGGGCAAGGGGAGCATGTACGGGCTTGGTGAAGACGTTGCGGCCGGTCGTTATCTTAGTCGAGTATGCATTAGGCGTGCGAACCAGATCGACACACGAAACACCTGGTTGCTCAGCTAGTGTTTAGGCGTTGAGATTAGAGGTGATGGTAGGCTTGGGGCTTGGATGGTCGATGTCACCAAATATACATCACAAACGGCCTTGGTTGGCCTGCCCCCATAGCTCCATTTGGTTCGCGTCTTGGTTGTATTAGTCGTTTTGAGAGCAGTGAATGCCAACAAGGCATATGTGCGAGTGTATAGAGGAAGGTAGGGTCGTTGTGCAGGTACATACTTTGTTGTGCTCTGCGATCGTGAACACACGCTTAGTGTCGTACTCGTTGTCGTTGATGAAGAAACAGAAAAACAAACCGTGTATGGTACGCTATCCATGAAGCTCGCTTGATATGAGGCGGTCTCTCTTCTGTACGTTTGACACTATGCTGCTGTATTCACTCCGCCACCATTGCATCGATCACGGCGGTATGACGACGAACGTTGACGTATGTAGTTGCAGAGATAATATCTTTCCTTTGGGTAGTTTCGATCGGGAATGACGAGACCTGAACGAAACGACCCGTCGACGACGAGGCGTATGTTGTGACGAAAAGGAAATGAACTGAAATCGGTTCAACATGGGCATGTTCATTATACACGGAATAATACGTACTCCACAACATTGGGCGCAGGCACAACCAATCGTTCCACGCGGCGTTTTCCTCAGGCTTAACTACTGTACAAT